GATAGCTGGGCTCTGTTACACACTAGGTCAGGAAGTTGACAGAACTCTAATTTTGCCTATACAGCTGTTTGCTATTTAAAAACTCGAGGAGGCTGAGGGCTTGGTGCAGCTGAATTTATGTAAAGCTTACCGATGCTCTCTGTGGCTATGGTTGGTAGCATAATAATTGGGATGGTGAGTTGATTGTAATTTTTATATTAAATTTGGAATGCTGGTAATAAAACTGTTTGGAATACACTTCAATGATGGATGGTAAATAACTGTCCAAAATGAATACAAGGCCAATAACCAGATTCTTTTTTCCTCTTCTCTTGGTGCTGCTTTGGGGAAAATTAGTTGGAAAATAAAGGTAAGAAATCGTTCTGTCAGCACAAACAGCAAGTCGGTATACAAATTAAATAATCTCTTGTCTAATTGTTGTCTTCCTCCCATTGAGAATGCCAGGTGTGAGACAGAACAATGGCTCTAACACAGCAATCTTCAATTTTTACTCCACGGCTTGAAAACCTTTTTCTTCCTCAGCTCTGCATGGAGAAGAGAACCAGCAATGGGAGATGGCTAACTGAGGTGATCAGGTCTGACACATGGGGACCTAGACACACTGATTTTTTCGTGAACTGTGATGACTCAGTTATGATGCAGGCAGGCAACACGGCCTGTCCCACGTAACCTGCACTCTCACCATGTACAGACTTCAAATGTTCCCTTTGCACTTGTTCTGACTGAACATTTTATATAAAAATGTTCCCTGTTCATGGTTCATCCTCTTCCCTGTAGGCAGACCAACACAAACCTGTTTCAGAATCACTCCTAGCCAAGAAGATTATAAAATGGTGCTCAGTGATCAATTCTGATACTTAATCATTTTCACTGAGTGACAATTCTCCTGGGAGGTTATGTCTCCATTAGACTGAAGCATTCAGAAGGGAGGACTCCGAGTTAAACATAAAATCGACTAAAATAAAGTCCTCTCAAAATCAGACAGGGATTGGTCTCTGTGAACCTCCTAGAACGAGCAGCTCTCACTGACCCTCTCGACCTCCCAGCAGCCCCACGTTGTACTGCTCTGTTATACACTTTCAGGGCCCACTACACCAACCACACCAAGGCACCCTGTCTTCACTGCTCATTCTCATGTTTGAAAAGAGGATCTGGTTTTAAAATAATTTTTCTTTTTCTTCTCAGGTTCTTGATGAGCTCTGATTCTGTTCTGATGGGCTCTGATCTGGACCTACAGTTAAACTTCATGGACCCTAGACATACACAGTAACTGTACTTCTTGCTCAGAGAAAAAAGGAACACTTAACAGGGCTTTGTTTCTGAGCACATAACTTGATTGATATTTAAAAGGATTATGCTGATTTTTAATAAGAATAAAAAATACATCGTTTTCATACAAAGCACTGAAGAAATGATTTGCATGATAAAATTTCAAAGACACGTTATCTAGCAGATGCTGCATAATACTCCTTAGTTGCTTTCAACAACGCATTTTATCTGAGGCACTCACAATCTTTTACAAACTAGCAGTGGCATTATCATTATACAGATGTGGGATTTGAAAACACTGGGTTTAATCTGATTAAGATTCCACACAAGGTCAATGAAGGGGAGCAGAGAATGAACGACAGAGGAGCCATTATCTTGCATAATAGATATCAGGATATTAGGAGAACAAATTAATTCAAAACAAAAGGGAAAATCTATTTGGAATCCAGAAGAAACTGCTCAGATTTAGAAAATAAATAAAAATAAAACAATAATTTTTAAAACCCTGAATAATGCAGCATCTCTCCGGTGAGAAGAACTCAGCCCATGTACAGTGAATCTGAAAATCAAATGGACGTAACACTCACATATGATCCAAGGTCACTTGCAGCTAATCTGTTCTTCTTTTGTATCACAGAGGGAAAGTAATTTAGTTTTGTCTTTTATTTATGAAAACTGTCATCATACAAGAAATAGTGGATTAAATTCTTCTCTGACTGCTCCTCTCCTCCTCCCCCTAGTTTTATACAACCCAGTGGCTTCTTATCCTTTTTCAATTTATGAATTCATTTTGCTTGTAATAATCTTAAGTTCCTTCTATTTTTTGAGAGACATATCTTATATCTAATAATCAACAACTACTTACTATTTTAATTGGTTCATCACCAAGTGTACACACAGTATCTGTGAGGGTCTTTAGTTGACCAGCACATCATTCTTCTCAAGGAGATATTACAATAAATAATTAACCACTGACTGTGAGCAAATGAGGAGGTTAGAAGAAATAGCTGAATGATGGTTCAGGAATTCTTAAAACCTTCTCCCTAATGTTGGCCATGGCCCTCAGGACTCTCAGCCTATCCAACTTCAGTGTATTCTTCTCTGATCTCGTTTTGTTTTGCTGTTGTTTGTGTTTTGTAAATTAAGTCTTTAAGAACACTTGACAAATTATCAAATTTCTTTACAGAGTACGTCTTGCACATGTGGACCAGAAAACATGTAGATACGTTCAAGAGCATTCACAGGGAAGTAATCACACTAGCAAAAATCTGAAAACTACCTAAATGTCCATCAACAGGACACTGGAAACCTGATAAGGTGGTATTCCAACACTGCTCATGGTAAAAGTGACCCGACTGATAAAGTGCTTCTGCACAGGGGGAAACGGTAGCCATCTGGTGGGAAGCTACAGTACTGGGCTTCTCTGAGTGAGGTGACTCTTGTGACTTAGCGTGTCTGCTGTGGGGAACCTGGCAACCTTTGCCTATGGAGTTGTTACAAGAGACAGATTGGCTCCCCTGTGGCCTGGGGATTCCTTGCCAGAACAGTTCTCACACCTGTCCCACATAGGTCTCATCTCCTTGTACCTAAGCTATCATCTGGGAGAGGCGGGGCAGAGACTAGCTCCTGGACAACTGCATGGACTATAACAGAAATCACTGCGAGGCTCCCTTCCATGGAAGACGAATACCTGCTGGCAAGCTATGGTCCCTGTCCTACACTCTTCCAAGGGAACCTGGTGCTAAGTATTGCCTATTGAAGTCTTGTGAGTCTGAATGTTTAGTTGGATCCAAGAAGAGCTCCTGGTGGCACTGTAAATGGTTACCTCTAAGATTGAGACTACGGGAAATTTTCACATCCCATGTTTGTATCTTTGAATAATTTCAACCTTATATCATGAACATGTGCTTTGCTTGAAAAGAACAAAAGATTATTGAAAGAAAAGAATCCCCATAAAGGGAATTGATACATCAAACTGTTTTAGAAGTATATTCCCAACTAAAGTTTTAAAGTGAACAAAAAAGTATCTTGGCAAGTATTATTATAAATTCTGTATATTTTGAATTCGAGTGAGTTTTTTCAATAGATTTTCAGCTTGATTAAAAATTTGAGAACCTTCTATGACTAGGTAAGTTTAATGTTTGATTAAAAATAAAAACATGTATCATCAACCGTTTTGTTACTCTTGTAATTAAGAGGACAAGAATAGTTCCCTACTTCCAAAGAAATAATGAGCCCAATCTGGTCATAACCAAAAGCCAAACTTGTTGCCATCGAGTCGATTCTCACTCACAGCGACCCTACTGGACAGAGTAGAATTGCCCCATAGGGTTTCCAAGGAGTGGCCGGTGGGTTTGAACTGCTGACCTTCTGCTTAGCAGCCAAGCTCTTAAACACTGTGCCACTAGGGCTCCAATCTGGTCACAGCGTGAGGTAAATAAAACATGTTCCCACCTGGCTATGAAACAGATCCTTCCGTATGAACCCTTTGGTGTTCCTGAAGAAGTTATGGGCTTTACCATGGCGAGTGATTTCTAGCGTGTTGTGGGACCAAATAAACCCTTTGGAAGCAGTTGATTACTTCAAGAAGATTAACATTATAAACAGACAGGGAAATTATATGAGTAATAAGAGCAATCATAATTGACAGATATCTAATCAACATATTATTGATCTCAAGTCCCAACAAACACTGAGCAAGTCAGAGTAGGTGAGGTTGAGATGCATAAAAGAAAATCCAACTTTATAGATGAAAAAACAGAGCTGCTATTCAACTTGATATTTCAAGTTTTTAATTTTTAAACTTGAACATATTCAATGAGCAACACTTCTACTTTCACTGAAATAAGATTTATCTATATTTAGAAGGATGTACGCTACTTTGTTTTTAGAGACAATTTTTGTTTTTAATTTTCACCTTTATATTACCATTGGTTTAGAAAGAGGCATTAGAGTCAAACTGCCTGGGCTTCTCCACTGGTTTCTCCACTTACCAGTTATGTTACATGAGGCAAGTTATTTACTTCTCTCATTCTCAATTTCTGCATCTGTAAAATGAGGACAGTAACAGCCCTCACAATTCATAGAGTTGTCATGAGAACTACATGAGATTATGAACTTCAAACGTAGAGCCTGGCACATGATAAACCATTGCCGTCGAGTTGATTCTGACTCACAGCACATGATAAGTACTCAGTAAATGGTTAGAAAAGTGGTGACAGTTGTGGCTATTGTAAAACACAATGGCATTAGTGCACTCTCCTCAGGGTCTGTGATTAGTACAGTTTTCCTTTCAACATGCCATCTTTGTTTGGGAGCTTCCCACATTCTCTCTGCTCCTTCAAATACATGCACCTACGTGTTTGCTTGCTCTTTTTCATAACTAGTATTTGTTATTCCTATGAGAAAGGGAGTGTAAGTCACAAAGTCGAACTCGACACAGAAAAGCAATTTTCATTCTTGGTTATCATTTAGATCATGAGCCGGTCTTCAGGAAAAGGACTTCTGTGTGCATAAGTCATCAATGAATATAATGGTCTGAACGCTTAAGTTTCACTGAAGCTTAGCTAGAAATTGAAACAGGAATAAAACGATTTTTCTTAACTAACGTTGGTCAAATAATGACTTATTTCTAAGAGAAGCTTCTTGATATCTCTCCCCACCAAACTCTAGGCTTGTATTTTCCTTCTTTTTTTTTAAAGTTGTGCTTTAGGTGAAAGTTTACAGCTCAAAAAAATATGAGACACTTCACAAATTTCCGTGTCATCCTTGCACAGGGGCCATGCTAATCGTCCCAGTATCGTTCCAATTTTAGTATGTGTGCTGCTAAAGCGAGCACTCCTCCTTCTTTCTTGACAGTTTCAACTGGGTGTTTAACAGCCTCCTCAAATTGAATATGTCCAAAACAGAATTCTGAATTTGAACTCTCCATTACCTCAATAATCCATTGGCCACTAAAATGGCCTTTTAAAAATGTAAATTAGGTCATTTTGATACCTTGTTTAATACTATCCAGTGACTTCCCACGGCACTAGGACCAGAATTTAAGGCCCTACCTAACCTTTCTGTCCTCATAACCTACCACTCTTGCAACTATTCACAAGTCTTTTCACATGGCAAGCTTGATCCCACCCCAGTGCCTTTGCATTTACTGTTCCCTCTATTTAAATACGCTCACCTCTAGATTTTCATGCCTGGCTCCTTCTCCACATTCAGATCGCAGTTCAAACACTACTCTTTCAGAAAGGTTTTCCCTGCTTCCTCGTCTAAAGCAGCCTACCACCCAGCTCTCATGCCACACTATCACTGCCATGTTTTACTTTCTCCATGGTACTTAACATTATCTGAAATTACCTTATTTATCTGTTTGTTTTTTCATTGTTTATTCTCTATGCTTCACGAGGAGGGAAGATGGCTAACTTGCTCACACCTGTATTCACAGTACAGAATTGCTCAATAAAGATTTCTGAACAAATGAGTGAATGAATAAATGAAGCCAGCTTGAGTTTCTTCATTTGAAGGTCACTTAATATTTCCAACATGTTTGTAATATACTTTTTTCCCCCTGAAGTTCAAGATTTTTACATGTGTGATAATATCACTTCATTAATTTTGCCTGGTACTGGGTGACTTTTTTGATTTACATTTTGATTTACATTTTCACATCATTCTTAACCTCAACTTTTATTACATCTTCAAAGATCTTTTCTGTTATGCTTGTTGTGGTATAATGAATTACTTAATATGGTCCTCCTAGCCACAGTCTTGTAACTCCCACCCAAGTGATCGGGCAGGACTGTGTGATAGGGTAACTGGAGCCTACTGAAGGGATTGGTCAATTTTGCCATCCTGCTGGGCTTGAAATGAGCCACCCCAGAGGCAGGGAAGAGAAGGGCCCACCATCACCAGGGAAGGAGAGACCGGTAGGAGAGACCCTCAGGAGATAGCTCAGTGGGCTTCCCGGCCTATAGACTGAGAAAGCTGAGTGCCTTTGGGCAGTGAACTGAAGGCCAGGGAGAGGCGTGCCTGCGAGCACGGTTGGGAAGAGGCTGTCCTGATGGAAGAACTATATCCTTGAGTGTTCCTGAGCCTGAAATGTAACCTGTTACTTCCTTAATAAACCCCATAATCATGAGTATGGTCTGTGAGTTCTGTGTGGCTGCTGCAATGAATTATTGAACCCAGTAGATAGTGCTATGGGAGGGACAGTTGGTGTCAGAGTTGTTAAAGATGACAGAGAGAGTGGCATGTCTGACTTCTACCTCATGGGAATCAGCCTTGGGCTGCTTATCTTGATTCTCCTTTTCCCTTGTGAAGTTAGAGGAGATCAGACACTTCCCTCATTCCATTTTTACATTTGTTCTGGCATTTTCTTTAAAAATACTGCTTAGAGGTGTGCACTGATTCTTTGAAAACTCTCTTAAATATCTCTCATTTCAAATTTCAACTAAAATGCCATCTCATCAGACAGCCTTACCCTGAAACCCCCTTATATTAAAGTGCCAGCCACCCTCTGCCCCATCACTATTGTATGTAACCCACTTAAAATGATACCTGCCACATGGCATGCTCACTCTTTAAGTGTATCATTATTTCTTCCTTGTTTACTGTCAGCCTTTACCTATAAGAATTTAAGGTATATACAAGAAGACACTTTTGTCTTGTCCACTACTGTGTTACTGGAAGCTAGGAAATGTGTCTACACAGAATGGCATTAACTAATGAAAGAATCAACATAAAATAGATACAATCATGGTATGAATAAAATATGCATGCATGTGTGTATGTATATATATTATACAAGTATGCATATTATATAAAATTTATATTTATCTCTAATCTTTATAAAAGTATGTCTACTGTTCCAAGTAAATTGCTTTTTCCATCATTACTGTGAGAATTCACTTATGTTAATACAATATGCAGAATTCGTAAATTATAAAAGTACTGATGTAGTAATTGCAAATGGAGCAGTTACTAACCTGCAAAGGTCACTTTAAAAATAAGCCACTCTGTACATTTAATATGTACACAATACTTCCACTTTTTATTATCAATATTAACTTTTGACATGAACGGTAAACGGCAGAAACAAACTTTACAACTTGACATTGATGCAGTTACTTCTGGAGCAGAGGCCTCTTGGGAACACTGAACTATACTTCACACCTGAAGCTTCTTCAATTTTTAACAGAATATTAAGATGATAACAAAATACCAGAATTTCTAAATAGCTTAATTTTACCTGGACTCAAGACTCTTCTACACATCAAGGAACCATTTTATTTACAAAAAGGTATTTCTTCCTATAGGATATGTCAGATGAGAAAGGGTAGAAATCAGGAGAATGTTAAGGAAACAGTTTATTTAATGTGAACTAAATTAGGGACAGGTTTCTTTCTGACTAAATTATTATTATTATTTTATTGTGCTTTAAGTGAAAGTTTACATTTCAAGTTAGTTTCTCATACAAAAAGTTATACACACACTGTTGTGTGACCATAGTTGCTCTCCCTATAATGTGACAGCACACTCCTCCTTTCCACTCCAGATTTCCGGTGTCCAATCCTTTTTGCCTTCTCATCTCACCTCTGGACAGGAGCTGGCCATTTAGTCTCACGTATCTACTTGAGCTAAGAAGCACTTTCTTCACGAGTATCATTTTATGTCTTATACTCCAGTCTAATTTAGGTCTGAAGAGTTGGCTTTGGGAATAGTTTCAAGTCTGGGTTAACAGAGAGTCTGGGGATCATGTCTTCTGGGGTCCCTCTAGTCTCAGTCAGTCCATTAAAGTCTGGTCTTTTTACTAGAATTTGAGTTCTGCACCCCACTTTTCTCCTGCTCCATAAGGTACTCTCTGTTGTATTCCCAGTCAAGGCAGTCACTGGAGATAGCCAGGCACCATCTAGTTCTTCTGGTCTCAGGCTGACGGAACCTCTGGTTTATGTGGCCCTTTCTGTCTCTTGGGCTAATATTTTCTTTGTGTCTTTGGTGTTCTTCATTCTCCTTTGCTCCAGGTGGGTTGGGAAAAACTGATCCATCTTAGGTGGCTGCTCGCTAGCTTTTAAGACCACAGATGCCAATCACCAAAATGGGATATGGAACATTTTCTTAATAAACTTTGTTATGCCAATTGACCTGGCTGTCCCCTGAAATCATGGTCCCTAGATCCCTGCCCTTGCTACTCTGTCCCTTGAAGTGTTTGGTTGTATTCAGGAAACTTCTTAGCTTTTGGTTTAGTCCAGTTGTGCTGACCTCCCCTGTAGTGTGTGCTGTCCTTCCTTTCACCTAATTCTTATATACTATCTAGTTAGTGAATACCCCTCTTCCTCCTGCCTCACCCTCATAACCATCAAAGAATGTTTTCTTCTGTGTTTAATCGTTTTCTTGAGTTCTTATGATAGTGGTCTCATACAATATTTGTCCTTTTGCGACTAACTTCACTCAGCATTATGCCCTCCATTCATCCATGTTATGAGATGTTTCACGGATTCATCGGTGTTATAGTTGTGTAGTATTCCATTCTGTGAATATACGATAATTTGTTTATCCCTCCATCCCTTGCTGGGCACCTAGGTTGTTTCCATCCTTTTGCTATTGTGAACAGTGCTACAATGAACATGGGTATGCATATACCTATTCATGTGATGGATTTTACTTCTCTAGGATATATCCCAAGGAGTGGAACTGCTGGATTGTATGGTACTTCTATTTCTAGCTTTTTAAGGAAGCGTCAAATTGATTTCCAAAGTGGTTGTACCATTTTACATTCCCACCAGCAGTACATAAGTGTTCTAGTCTCTCCACAACCTCTCCAACATTTCTTATTTTGTGTTTTTTGGATTAATGCTACCCTTGTTGGGATGAGATGGCATCTCATTGTAGTTTTGATTTGCATTTCTCTAAAGGCTAATGACTGTGAGCATTTCCTCATGTATCTGTTAGCAGCTTGAAAGTCTTCTTTGGTGAGTATCTGTTCATATCCTTAGCCCATTTTTAAACTGGATTATTTGTCTTTTTGTTGTTGGGGTTTTATAGTATCTTGTATACTTCAGAGATTACATGCTGATTGGATTTGTCATAGACAAAAATTGCTTCCCAGTCTGTAGGTTGTCTTTTGACTCCTTTGATGAAGTCTTTTGATGAGCATAAGTGTTTGATTTTTAGGAGCTCACAGTTATTTAGTCTCTCTTCTGGTGCTTGTGCATTGTTACTTATGGTTTGTATTGTGTTTATGATGTTATTAGGGCTCCTAGTGTTGTTCTTATTATTTCTTGCGTGATCTTTTCCGTTTTCGAATTTATATTTAGGTCTTTGATCCACTTTAAGTTAGTTTTGTGCATGGTGTGAGGTACGGATATTGTTTCACATTTTTGCAGACGGATATACAGTTATGCCAGCACCATTTGTTAGAGAGACTGTCCTTTCCCCAGTTAACAGACTTTGGGCCTTTGTCAAATATCAGCTGCTCACAGGTGGATGAATTTACATCTGGACTCTTGATTCTGTTCCATTGGTCAATGTGTCTGTTGCTGTACCAGTACCAGGCTCTTTTGACTAGTGTGACGGTATAATAGGTTCTAATATCAGGTAGTGTGAGGCCTCCCACTTTGTTCTTCTTCTTGAGTAATGCTTTACATTTTCGGGGCCTCTTGCCTTTCCATATGAAGTTGGTTATTTGTTTCTCTATCTCATTAAAAAATGCCATTAAATTTGGATCAGGATTGCATTGTATCTGTAGATCACTTTGGGTAGAACAGACATTTTCACAATGTTGAGTCTTCCTATCCATGAACAAGGTATGTTTTTCCACTTATGTAGGTGTCTTTTGGTTTCTTG